ATATATATATATATATGGAATGGAAGCCTGACTTGTTTTAAACTTTCATCCAATTCACAATGAAAAAAACAAAACTATATATATTCAAAGCTATTAACAATTACAAAAAGCAGAAAAAAATTTCATGAAAATTAAACATGGATGTTATTGAAATATATTATATGAAACTCTACTGTACCTCAGTTTCAGAGATTAGCTGGTTGATTTTCTTGCATGTATAAAATGGGGCCACTTCTACATGAGCCACTCGCCAATCTGCTCCACGAGATGTTTCCAGTATCTTGTCATGCTTTTTAAGAATTTTTCGAAACCCTGTAAAATTCAGATTCTGCAGAAAGAAATGAGAAACACCACTATAATTTCAAACCCCATCAAACAAGATAAAAAATAAGTAAGTACTATCCATTCACAGAGAAAAGTGGACTAAGACTAAGACTACTCGGGGAAATTACAATACTTTTAGAATCAAAGCATTTTCCACAAGGTTATGGTTCCTTTTTCTTATGTCACATATTTGTAGTATGTTAATTCTTAGTAAAATACAAAACTCTGATATGAGCCCATCACTTCCAGATAAATTATTGATAGCCCTCAACTCAGAATAATTTTATTTCCATTTTTCCAGTGTAACTGTTCTCAAAATAGGTAATTTTTATTATTTGGCTGTTCAGATCAAAAGAATATTTTCAGGAAATATGTTGGATTTATCATGCACTAGACACAAATAAAGGCAGATACATGGAAGCACAAATATACCAGAAGACAGGTCTTCTACATCTGTCACCTTTCACTTTGTTTCTATCAATTCTCAGCTTGATTCTCTTGTTACAGGGATGTACTGGGTTGTACTGATCATGAGTCGAAGTCCTCATCTTTCCTCAATTTTCCACAGCATCAAATTGCTATCCTTTTAAACATTTTTGAATTCTGTTGCTCTTTGACCAACATTCAAAGAAGCAGGAAACTCTGAATTTGTATGGCTCTGTAAACCCAGAGTTGTTGATCATTTATCTTTTTTCTCATACTTTAATAGCTCATCTTAAACTTCTTGAGGTACAAGCATAATGACTTGGAATCAGCCTTAAACATTCCTTTCTCAGTCATTCTCAAAATAAATGTACTCTTATAGAATAAGACAGCTCCAAGAATAGAGAATGGAGGAGAATTCATATAATTAACAATTGCGTTTGTTTTCCTATGAACTAAAATGTAACAAGGATATTTCTCTGTAATACACACACACACACAAATCAGTGAGATTTAAAATTCAACATTTTAATAGTATTAGAGGAAAACTGAACTATACCTTTGTTTACTCATTTAAAAAATTAAATTACAAAGCTATGAGTAAACTTCAAAGAAAAGGGATTTCTATTACATATATCATCTTATTAAATTACTTTTCTACCCTTTTAAAATTATTTTCTATTTGGGTTCTTCTTAGAATAATAAAATATTAACTCACCAAAGAAGAACGTACACTTATGCTAAGAAAAGGATAAGAATAGTAGAGTATATACATTAACAACTTATATCAATGTAGAGAAGAGGCTTTAATTAGTCTTTTTACTTTGAAATCTCAGTATTTACCCTGGGTAATATCTTTGTTTTTAGCCTTTAGTTTTTAAATCATCATCCTATGATGATCTTAACAAGAACAAAATGAAATAAACAAAAATATCTAAGGTCTCTCTTAAGATTAAGGTGATGCACTTCCCCATTTACATTTTTATTATTGAACAATAATGCTTTCCAATTTAGTTCTTGATAGCTTAACTACATAAATAATTCTAAAAAGATTACAAGAGGACGTGGTCCATAGCTGCAGCTATGAGTTGGCCTCTGGTTCACAGTGACTGTGTGGTACTGATGAAGCAGGTTTTCTTGGCTATTATCATTATAGAAACAGATTGGCAGGTCTTTTCTTCTGCTGAGCCACTGGGTAGGTTCAAACTACCAATCATTAGTTTAGCAACCGATAGCCAACCACTTGCATTACCCCTTTACAAAAGGGTAGAAACTCTGTAATCAACATAACTGGAAATTCAATTTTGTGATTAAGTTGAAAAAAATATTGAGTTATATTTCAAAATAGTTTTTCGTCTCTACACGTTTGCTTTGATCTAATTTCTCTTCTTTCTCAAGGACTTCTTTTCCCTCAAGGACTTCTTGTTGTCTATGGGTAATCAAGTAGGAAAAATTCTTTGAGTGATGACGTTGAAAAGTCATGAACTTGTGCATATTAGTATTAGTTGTAGGAAAATCAACTGTCCAATTGCTTTTGTAAAAATTTTATCAGTTAAGGAGAATATAAAAGGTCTTAACCAACAATTAATTCTCGTGTCAAGGTCTACTCCTGAGTATGGTATATAAATAAGTTTTAAAAGAAAACAGACCTTCAAAAACAAATTTTGTTACCACTGATTTACTGCCTCTGATACATGCTTTTAGCCAATAAAGCTATCTGCATACTGAATAAGAACTCCAAGAAAAAGTCCATGCTAAGGCTTTTCCTTCTTGGATTGGGTCATTAGTGAAGTTCAAGGTAAGTTGATTTACTGGCGTTTCTCAGTTATTTAACCATTCCATTGTCTAAGACAGTAGTTCTCAACCTTCTTAATGCAGCGACCCTTTAATACAGTTCTTCATGTTGTGGTGACCCCCCAACCATAAAATTATTTTCATTGCTACTTCATAACTGTAATTTTTCTACTGTTATGAATCATTATGTAAATCTGATATGCAGGATGTATTTTCATTGTTACAAATTGAACATAGCCACAGCTGAATATAAAAAGGCCGATCAGCATCCAAATTAAGTTCCCATGGTACAGACTTTTTTTGCAGTAGTTGATGATTTTACAGTACGATTTTACATTTACCCAGTAATTGTAATTCGTGAAGTGTCGTTTTACCTCCAATACTGTTGCTTTCAACACAGTAGCTGATTTTAACAGAACAGCTGCTTTCAACACAGCAACTGCTTTCTACACAGTAGCTGCTCTCTATACATGTGACTGATCTGCTTAAGTACATTATGGCACCAACCTGTCACATACACCTGTATTTGTACGGGGTGTATGTGATGGGGTTGGTGCAATGATGACATCATGCCAGGTACTGGTATGTGGATGTACCTGCATGTGGGCGGACCCTCCTAGAGACGGATAGAGGAGCGGCGCCTCGGTTCCTAAGACCATTGGAAATATGTGTTTTCCAATGGTCTTAGGCGACCCCTGTGAAAGGGTCATTTGACCCCGACCCACAAGTTGAGAACTGCTGGTCTAAGAGAAGAATTTTTGTACCTGATAGTTCTGCAGCAGGATAAGACTGAGGTAGAACTCGCTGAAGGCCAGCTTAAGGTCTTTAATGTTCCTGTGTTGAACACGTTCCTCGTGGGACAGGTGGAAGACTGGCTTTCTGCGCTGTCGCAGTGTGGTAACACCAGTGGCTTCTTTCTGTGCATCCAGTGATGACTGAAGCTCATTCTGAAGGGTAGCAAACCTGCGCTGGGCCTCTGCAAGCTTCTCTGTAGGAAATAAAACAGAATTGTTAAATCAGAACGATAACAATCTAAAGTATTTGCTCTCACTAACCTCTGATTTTTTTACTAATCTGTTTTGCTTGAGGGGACAAAATGCTACATGTAAAATTCAAAACTGAATAGAAACAAATCTTTCGGTATAACATTCTCCTCCAAGCAAAACCCTTGAATGCACCCTTTGTCTTTACAGACAGAAAAACAGAATGTAGAAAGCTATTAAGAATGGGAATGTAAAATAGTGCAGCCACTTTGAAAAAAGTTTGGCAGTTTCTAAAAAGATTGAGCACAGAGTTACAGTATGATCTAATAATTCCACTTCTAAGTATACTTCAAAGAGAATTGAAAACCTAAATTCAGGTACAAAGTTGCACAAGAATATCCATAGCAGCTTTGTGACCATAGCCAACAAGCAAGAAGGAAACCCAAATGTCTATCACCTGGTGAACAGATACACAGAACGTGGCACATCCATACAGTAGAGTAACATACATACAGCCATACAAAGTAAGTTCTGATTCGTGCTTTAACTTGAAGATATTATGCTAAGTGGAAAAAAAAAAACCGGACACAATGGGCAACATTTACTTATGATTCCATTTATTTGAAATGTCAAGAAGAAGAAAATTCACAGAGACAGATTAGTGATTGACAGGGGCTGGAAGGAAAGGGCAGTGACTGCTAAGGCGGGGCATATTTTTTTGAATGATAAAAATGTTCTGGAACCATATAGCGGTAATGGCTGCACATCTTATAAATATATGCTCCAAACACTGAATTACACATTTTAGCGTAAATCTCATGGTATGTGAGTTATCTTTCATTTTTAAAAAGTGATTAAGGAGCATTTCCAGTTACATACTCTAGTGTAGAAATAGGATTAAATTTGGGCTTTAGTTTTCCAATCTTCTTCATTTCCCACTATATCTCATTATTTCTGTAAGACAGAGGAGTTACACGAATAGACAAAAACTGGCAAATTATAAGAAAAAGAGTAGGTATAGTTGGCTATATAAGTGCTTGTGTATACATAAATTTAACAGTAAAACTCTGTAACCTTTTCCCACTGGATCAGGCAAACTTGGGTACAAATCCTTGCCTTGTCAAAAACTAACTGCTGTGAATTTAGTCAAGTTTTTATTTTTTAACTTTGTTTTTAAATTGTTCTAAACCTTATAGGTGAAAAGGGGACAATAGTTTCTTTATAGATGAAATGGGGTATTACCAACTACTTCCCTCATAAGGTGTCATGATTAAGTTAAATAAAATTCCCTGGAAAATTCCCAGGGAAAAATTAGCACTCAACAAATAATAACAGTGACAATTATAAAATAACAAAGCACTACTTACAATTCATTCTTTCTCAAAGTTCTCATCTTCCTCCCTTTGTATAGTTCTATATGTACTATCATGCCTTCTCTAATCATCAGTATCTTCATCTTAGCTAGCAATGCTTCTTTAAGGATCCCTGCTTCTCTGCTAGTATCACCATCTATTTCTTAATGGAAAGCTTTATTCATTCCTATGACGTTTTATACAACCCTGTTTCTAAACCAAGAACTATTTCACAGCAAAGGTAGCAGAGCAACAGGATCAGGTATGATCTTACCACATATTCAGAAGCAGCTGACCTACTAGAAAGGCTTATTGACACCGCAGGTATAGGCCCCCAGTTGGGAGGCAAAAGACTGAAAGGGCAGGGTTCCATCTTATAGGATGCAGTTGGCTTTGAAATTAAGGCCACTATATGGTTCTGTTTCCCACAAAGCCAAAATACATGGTCTATCAATTGAGGGAAAGTGATAGTAATTCCTCTTACTACATCTAGTAATTCACTCACCAAATTTTTGCTTCTCAGTCCTCCAACTTGATCTCTGCTGATGGTTATTTCCCAAGAAGAAAATGCTTCTATCATGGGAATATAACAATGGCTCCACTTAACTGGCAGCTAAGTGTGGTACTTGGGTACCTAGGTAAGTGTGGTACTTGATATGGCTCTTCTAACCATGCTCTTTGTAATTCCTACCAAATAACTGAGTAGGACTAAGTAAATGTGAAGTGTTTATGGCTCACACCAAAGTGACTGGACAGCTTGCTAATACGGTAAACAAGCCACATGGTACTCTTGTGGGATGTGAACATGCAAAAAGCACGTATGGAACTTTAACGAGAACACTGGTCAATTTTTCTATTCTCCCTTGGTTTAAAATGAGCCATCTCAGAAGTGGAAAAAGGGCATCTCACTACCATCAATAAAGAAAAGCCAGGAGTGAAGTATGTCACTTGGACTCCAACACCACAGTGCTGAACCTCTTTGATCCAGGAGAGAGAGCTGCGACTTCAAAGACTGGAGAGAAGTGGCAACAGCAGAATCAAGAGCATGAGATACAGTGTTGGGGTTCCTGGCCCATGGGTTGAGAAAGTTGACTTCCTTTGGACAGGAGACTCTGAGGAGTGGGTTGCCTCCAGGCACTTAATAAAGGGGAGGTTAAGTTCGTTGATTCTTAGAGCTAGAGCTCAGCACCTTCAGACCAAGGATAACTGGTAGAGTGAGCAAGTAATCAGCAGAGCTACATTTGCTCAAGCAGGACAGAGGCCAAGTAGTCATGTCACCGAGAAGCTGTGGACCAGAGAGAAGCATGTCTGTGGGCAAGGTTGAGGAGGACCAGTCCTGAACTAAGTGGTGTATGTATCCTGAGCATTTCTGAAGCTGATAAACTAATAATAACTCCATTGTCTTGAGGTATTGTATGTGAATTCTGTGTGGCTATTGCAATGAATTGAATCCAGCAGATAAGTAAAGCATGCCAAGGGAGGTACAGTTGGTGTTAGAATTGATAAGGAAGGTTGGAGGAGAAAAGTCTATCTGACTTCTGCATCATAGGAATTAGCCTTGGGCTGATATTGAGTTTGATTCTTCTTTCCAGTGTAAAGTCAGAGGGAATCAAATGATAATCCCATGCCATTTTTACAAGGAGATAGTCAGTTGGTCACTGGGTATCGGAAACTTATAGGTTAAGAGAAGATTTTTCTCTACTAGTTGAAGTAATTGGTACTGATTATCAAAGAGAGAATAGGTTATTGAAATACAGTAAGGGCTGGGAAGATAATGTATTGCATCCAGAGATCATTGGAGCATCTCTTTAGTATTTCTATGCCCAGTGAAGAATTGTAGCAATAAAAAAAGATAGAACTATTGAGAATTCAGATCCTTCAGCAATTAAAGTTGGGGTCATCCCACCTAGTAAGGAACCCTGACCAGGTGGGTTTCTGGCTGAGGGTAACAGAAACATGGAAAGGGCAGTAAAAGAAGAACGTCTCAGATATCAACAACGGCTTCTTGATCTTCTGACTTTATCTTTTATACTTCCCATGGTTTTATTTCTTTGTGTTATACTCTGAGTAACTTTTTCAGCTCTTTCTTTTTTTTAACATTCTCTTAATTTAGTGCAGTGAATTACTTAATATGGCCCTTCCAGCTAGTCTTTGTGACTGTGTTAGTCTGGTTAGACTAGAGAAACAAATTCATAGACACTCACATGTATATAAGAAAGAGGTTTATATACAAGAGCAATTGAATATTGAGAAAGCATCCCAGCCCAGTCCAGATCAAATCCATAAGTCCAATATTAGCCCATATGTCTGATACCAATCTATAAAGTCTTCTTCAGACTCACGGTAATATATGCAATGATGCAGGAGGATCATAGGCCAGTGGGCTGGAAGTCTTGTGGATCCAATGGCAGTTGTAAGCATCTCAGCACTGGCAGGGGTCTCTACATGGCTTCACCAACTCCAGAGGTCTGGTAGCATCAGGGTAGGGCCATGTGGCTTTTCCAGCTCCCAGGGTGTAGAGCCATGTGTCTTGTTAGAAGAGCATCTCCAGGGAGTGAGCAGAGAGACAGAGGTGTTGCCTGCCTCCAAAGAGGAAAATACTGGAGTTCCCAGAATTCTCAGGAGAAGGTCATGGCCACACAGAGGCCTCCTTGCATGGAATTGTGATTGTTAAGGTTATATGTCAACTTGCTGGGTCATAATTTTCAGTGGCTTGGCGGTATGGTTGGTAGGTTAGATGGTTTTAGGTCAACTGGATATTCCTGGCTAGGGATAGAGTCAGATCTGTCAATAAGGTCACAGCCTGATGGTGCTTCCTTGGGGGTGTGGCCTTCTTATATGGAGTACTCTAGGAATTTCCTTCCCTTTCAGCACTTTGCCTTCCTGCCTGCTGGGACTCTCCTGTGACTGACCTTGCAGCTCATAGAGCCCTGCCATGTTCCCACTGACCTCGGACCCATGTAACTCTGCACCTCTGGACCTGTGATCTTCCTGAAGTCTGTGTCATTGGATGTGGCTATGTGAATCTGAAGAGGGTTTATGGAATTGCATAGACTTAAGTACTTGAGTAAGATTGAGTTGGGGTGCTTTGTTGATATATAATTACTTCTTACATAAAGTTCTTTATATGAGTGTCAGTGGATTTGTTTCTCTAGTCAACCTGGCCTAACACAGCCAATTATATAATCATGATACAGTCATTCACAATTCCGTGATCTGCTTATCCTCCATTTTATGATGTCTTGTAAATGTAAGCTTCCATGCATGTAGTTATGGTCCCATTTGGGAGTGAGTTGCTCATTACACTAATGAGGCAGGGTTAGAGTGGTATGTAACGAATCAGGAAGCCATATTTGGTGCCATGAGTTAAGCAGTGGGTTGTTAGCCAAAAGGTAGGCAGTTTGAACCTACCAGATACTCTACAGGAGAAAAACAAGGCAGTCTGAACCCAACTCTTAAGATTTACAGTCTCGGAAACCCTAAGGTGCTAAGTTCTACTCTGTTTTATAGGTTTTACTACAAGTCAGAATCTATTAGATGGCAGTGGGTGGGTATCTCAAGTCACTGCCTTACTGGAGGGTATAACACAAGTCAATGCCCTTATTCAAGTCATACCCTATCTTATTCAAATAAGAGGAATTTCCTTGGGGCCA